CCCCAAAACCCCAAAACCCCAAAACCCCAAAACCCCAGCACTTTGTAAAGTGTTGAAATACAGTCTTGGAGATCAGATTTGTGTAAGAATTGCCCTGAATTAACTTAATTTCAGTTAACCAATGCATATTTAGAAATATCCAAATATAGCACCTTTGTTTGGAGGACCTATGCTTAAAGTGTCCTTACATCTTTACACAAACGAAGACTCAAATCATAGTTTCTTGGAATTACAAAGGAAATTGAATAGTTTTCGGAATGAGTAAGTAGGTGAGGAATATTGCGCTAGAAGGATAATTATTAGTATTCTTCCTTGTAAATTACTCTTGAAGTTTAGCTGATCCTGTCTGTCCATTTAAAAGCCACCAGAAGCCCAATCATTAATATTAGATAAAATCTTTAAATGTTCTGGAGAATAATTTGCCTAAATAAGTTACATTTTATGATTGGATTTGTGTCGTGCTCAGCTAAAAACTAATTTCTCCAACCTAAAATGACCCAAATTATGGATAGAATATTGAAATACTATTGAACTTTAGGCCTCTTGTGATTCAAGTAAGATAGCTCAGCCAGAGTCTTTGATATCGGTCCTTTCAAGGGAAAATCTTAAATTCATTAAAAAGCTAAGAAGCCTGTTCTAGAAGTTTGAGCTATTTATGTAAAAATATTCCAAATACTAATCTGAAATTTCTGCTGTGAATCCGGACATATCAGAATCAATAACCTGAGTCCTGATATATTAACTTTTATTAACTATGGATCTCATGCGAACATTATTATGATAAAACAGCCACTAAGTTATATCTAAAACACTTCGAAGGATCGATCCTTCGTTATTTCCACTTAGTTCTTAAAAGGCTTCCTGATAAATTCTTTGCTCAAAAAGAGCCAATAAATTCATTTTATTGCTTGACTGGTGACTTCGAAATTTACAACAGATTTTTAGGAAGTTTCTATGTGGGTGTAGCCCACTGAGAACACTCTTCTAATATGTTGGTCTTTACCCTCTCAAGAAGGATGGAGGAAAATGTGATCATTATTTTATAATTTTAACAAACCTTAAGTATATTCAGGCTCTAAAATTTTTGCAATATTCTCAGAGCTTCTTCTGCTTCGTCATTTTTTATTTGGATTTTAGTTAAAATTTCACAGCTACCTAACCAGACTTAGAAACGGAAAATAACAATGGACTTTAGTGGTAAGATTTGGGAATATTCAGGGTTGAGAAAATTCTGAGATCTATAAAATTTCTCTTACCCATATTTAAGGGCTAGTGGCCCTCTTGGGATGATAATCTGATGTGAAAAAATTCCTTTGCCGACGTTACAGAGCGTTACTGTTTAAATTTCCCTCAGACTTTTGTTCAATTTTCCTTAAACCTCTTTCCATACATCTAATAGATTTAAAAATAAGCCAATTACTGATCAACACGGGTTTTGGGGTCAATTTTACATCATAAATTCCCTCACTTGGCCTATCTCCATCTTAGCAATCTTCAGTAAAAAGTTGATTTGGGAGCATTTGGAGGTATATAAAAGAAAATTTTTAATAAATTTTAGAATAATTTAATTATCAATAACTAAAAGAGATGGAATTCACGAAGGATTATGACTTTTTGGAACTCTCTAATGAGGAGGACAAACTCGACTCCATGTTTGAAGCAAATCCCTTTGAAGGTTGCAACTATATTGAGGAGTTTATCACTCCTAAACGACAAGATCCAACAGAGATCATTGCTAAGAAAATTAAAGCTGAAGGACATCATGGTGACTATAAACCAGAATTTAGCCTAAGTGAAGAATTGCAAGACATAAGGTATGACTTTACCGAGTCTACTTTAAATCATGATGGATGTCCTGTTTTCATCTTTAACCCTGAAAAAGTCCATTCCTCTAGATCAGATACCTCTTCAAAGATATGCAATAGTGAAGTCTCAGAGCCCCATATCTCAAACATGGTCGATTCAAAAATGGGTGAAAAAGCAGAAAAGAAATCTATTCCTAGACAGCCTCCTAAAGAAGTACCGATGAAAATAACCAAATTTGACAAAGGAAAAAGATTCTCAAAGAAGAATGACGTAGGTAAGCCAAGTTTAAAATACTCAGAAGGCTCATTAGGCCAAACCTTAGTTATATATTAGGATAACACATTTAATGACTGCCAATTGGGTTGACCTCAGAAAGAACTTTTGATCTAGCTCCTTCGAAAATATCTGAGTTGTCTAAGGCACGAATCATTTTGATAGATAAAAATTGTAATATTTAATATACTCCACAAACCCTTCTGGAGCAAAAAGTAAAAGTTTCGAGGTTTTGCCATCTTAAATAGAGGGCTTGCCCTGGTAAAAGTGAACTATCTAATAATGGTCATAAATTATTTTACTTAAGAAAAATTAGTTGACAGAGCAATTTTAAGGTGTTTCTTTCATCCTTCAAGAAGAAATGCTCCCATTGCTTTTTCCTTTCACCCGGAAGAGATAGTACTTAATGTTTAAAAATTCTTCCCTTAAACTCTCGTTTTTAATTTCTGAAATCTAGACCTCTTTAAAATTCTCAGGAAATTATGTGAAACTCGAGGAATTTCAATCGAGAATTTTTGGAAAGACGACCTCCCACTTCAAAACCTCGAAGTCTCTGTCCTTTACGAACTTACTTCTTGCATTGGATGGAAGAGGAACAGAAAAATTGATTTGTTGAAGAGAATCAGAAGAATCGGACTCAAACGGACGTTCTCCGTTAGGGAAACAAAACTCCTATTAAAGTTAATGGAAGTAGAGACTATCAAGGAAAAGCCAGATTATGAGGCTGTCCTTGAAAAATTTCCTGGTAAGACACTTGAAGACCTCATGAAAAGGTTTAATGAAGTCAAAGAAGACACTCTATAACCCTATTAAGTATTCCATGAAGTTTCAAATAAAAACTTTGATAAAAATTTAACATATAATATTTTCAATATATAACCTCTAGTTGGGGTTTTGGGGTTTTGGGGTTTTGGGGTTTTGGGG